TAAAAACTTTTACTTTTAGTTAACATAATCTATAATTTAAAACCCATAAAAACCAAAAAATTAATGATCAAAGTCTCTATTTACATTTTGATATTGTTGATAATTTAAAGTTTTTTATAGATTTCAAATTATGAACGGTATTAATCGGAAGTAAAAATTATAAAAGGTTTTAATTATGAAATAAATAATATTTAAGGTACAAATAAGAGGTTTGGTCATATAAGTAAATAGATAAATTATTTTAAAATTTTTAATTTAAATTTTTTTTTAAAAAAAAAGGCAGTTTATTTTTGTTAGAGTATTTTCACTTTATTATGTTCACATTGTTATGATTATAATTGATTGACATAATTAAATTAATTGATTTTGTATTATAAAATATTTTCTTATACAGACTTATAAATAAGTATTTTATATATTCAAATAAATCAAGAAAAAACATCAATTTTCTTCGTATTTTTCTCTCCTGCCTTGTTTCTCACAATTTTAAGATGCAAATTGACATTTATACTCTGCTAAATATACCCTTTTACTCATTTGATGCGAAATGAGATTTTAATTCCTTCTCGGCCTCTCTTCTTTTCCCTTCAGTATGACATTACTTTTTTTATTTGGTAGGGATCACTTGGTATCCAGAAATCCACTAAACTACCGACTAATCCAGATTCAAGTTGGGTAAGACTCAATGGGTAACAAAACTCTACCTTATGAATTTTAACGGAACTACATTCTTAGAATTTGAAATCAAGACATCTGATTAAATTTAAAAAGTACACTATAAACTCACCAACTCACTTGTGCGTTAAGTATGACATTACTGTAACATGGGAGTGGAAAACAATTGAGAGTCGACATTTTCAGAGGTTGCACTCAAAAGGGAACACATCTTGAAATGGCTAGTGGGATTATAATTTAGAAAAGTAGGAACTAAAATAATTAATCTTAGTTTAATATTGACCTATAGAAGGTTAACATGAATTATATATAGGATTTGCAAATAAGATTCCACCACCTTCCCTTATCAACATTTTGTTTTTGCAATTTTCTTAAAAGGTGGCGTGCAATTGCTCCACCTTATCTTTGTCTCATGCTATCCAAATTTCAAACATATAAGTAATTTAAGGGTACATTTGAAATTGTTGTGAAGTACTATAGTGGTAGTTATGTTAGACTGTGACTGAAAGTTATTTTGGTTATTTTTTTTAAGTATTATAAATAAAATATGATAGATTTTATTAATTATTAATTA